TTCCTTAATATTTACAATACTTTAACCGTTTTCTCTCTCTAGAATTTTTGGAAGAAGCTAAAGCAGCATATGAGAATGTAATTTAAACACAGGCAAATTATAAGATCACAGGTTTACTATACTACCACCTCAGGTCAAGTCTCTTTTTAATTAAAATCTTGAACTTCTAGTGGCTCCTCTAAAATTATTCTTTCTTACTGAGTACTTTGAACATGAAACTACACCCTCCCCCATAAAAGGGAAGGGAGAGAGGGGTAAGGACACTATACATTATTAAAGAAAATGCAGCTTTTCAAGTGCAAACTGGACATGTGTGCTGAATGGATTGCAACTAAAGTCTACAGTCACGTTCCACTGCTCTGGTCTTGAGGCCAAAGTAATTCCAGTTTTTGAAAAATTTCAGAACTATTTGTAAGAATTAGTAACAATTTCATAGTAAACTCACACATTTTAATAAGAATAAAATCATTAGGATTTCTGTTCTCTTAAAAGTATAAACCTAAAGATCTAATTTACTGGACATCTGTCCTATTAGTGTGGTTCAGTTACATCTGAAAAGAACCCACTGAACTACTCATGCTCTAGAACAGCGGTTCTCAACCTGTAGGTCGCGACCCCTCTGGCAGTCGAACGACCCTTTCACAGGAGTCGCCTAAGACCATCCTGCATATCAGATATTTACATTACGATTCATAACAGTAGCAACATTACAATTTGTTTGTTTGTTTTTAAGAAAGTCAAGGCTATTTATTACAAACATTACCAATTACTATTTGGTGGAGTAGATTGTTTACAAAGTAACTCTGAGATAGAAAGGAGGAGGATCCAAAAAAAAAATTACCAAAGCTAATACTGTGTAGAAGTCACATGTAAGAGGAAAGAAGCCCTCAACAGACAGGCTAGGCTAACTACTGTCCACGTTAGTTTGATCCTGGAAATCTCTAGCACACTCTATCTCAAAGCCTGAGTGAAAAGTTTTACATGACATCCTTACAGATGACAAAAAGAATGACTTACTCTGAAGAAAGATTTGGTATGGGGTGCTAAGCCATTTAGATTACGTTTCTTTACTAGTAGCTTAGCATGAAAGGCTTTTTAGCCTGCAACATGGCACACTGAATGGCAAACCAAATGAAAGACACTAACAGGTACTGTGCTAGCAAGTACTGTGGTTTTTCCATGAAATAAGTCATTCCATATAGTACAATGTTTTACCCCTTTAAGAAGAGCTGTTAATCATCCTGAATGACAATATAAATTATGTAGATTACTGCATTCTCATAAAGAGTTCCCCAAACATGACTTAAGCTAATTGATGAACATGCATTACTACACTTTCAGGTCTGGTCCTGCACTGAATGGTCCCAGACATGCTAGATAGGCTTTAAATATTTGTTTTCGTGTCTTGTAGATTAAGTCTACTGTCTTTACCAGGCTGTTACCTGTTTTTTCTTACAACAGACAGTGGAGGACAGTTCCCCATCCTCCCCCCTTCCCCCCACCGCACTCCCCTTAACCTCCCACATTACTCACAATCTACTTCTTTCTAATCTATTGAGGACTTAGAAGCCAGATAGCTTTACTTGCTACAAATATCTGAAATAAATGCCAACAAGTTCTGATTAAGAGACTCAATGGCTCTCCTATGACCAAAGCTTTAAGGTAAATGGACTTGGACAATTTGAGTGCCCCGCGTCTCCTTTGCTTAGTTTCTGCCTCTCAAGTGCATTTTATAATAGGTCAAAGATAAGAACACAGGCAAATCATTTGGATTAGGAAGAAAACAACTGAAAACTACAACTAAAACAGAACAAAAGATCATTTGGGAGGACGCTTATGTCTGAAGCAATGTTCTAGGTACTTTAATCATGATTATTTAACCCATATAATAATCATAAGAGGTAGCTGTTACCTCCATTTTCAGTTAGAAAACCAAGGCTCAGGAATTAAGTAATTTGCCTCAAAAAGTAACTGAGAAGCCCTCTCTCCAAAACCCATGGCCTTTCCACTACATGACACTGCAACCCAATCCTTATTCTTAAATTAGCTAATTGTCTTTACACTTTACTTCTGATGCTTTTATTGGAACCTGACCCATTCAAGTTTGCTTTCTTTCCCTAACCAGTTTCTATAACTAAAGAACAATGAATAAACGAACTAAGGCCAAATTAAGCTTAAGTCTACAAGTGTTCATCTGCTCAGAAACAAATTATCTTTGTAAAAGATCAGCCATATCTTCAGTTTGTATGGAGTGTGCAAAAATGGTGACATGTTTCCACCCCCCATACACTGACAGTTTCCAGTGACATTGAGTTAACACTTGACTTCTTCTCTAATGCTGTCCTCTACATTACAGAAAGCACTGCAAGCATATTTAGAAACTGGCTCAGTAATGCATTACATGCTCCCACGATTTGCAATAACATGATTTTCTTACTCTAAACACTGGAGGACAGGGCAGGAGATAAGAGGAACTTCTACTTTTCTAATTCCACTAAGGAACAGGGATAATATATTTGTCCCCTGTTAGGTACTTTACTACCTAGTTCAGGGCCTGGCACACATCAAAGACTATTTGTTTAATAAATGCATAACAGCACTCTTCTGAATTGGGTTTTGAAATCATCTTCTTTTACATTTTCTGACATACCCTTGTAATACTTAGAGAAAAATATCTTTCCTCTTACAGAAACTAAGAGCTTAAAAATGGCTCTTCTACTTAACATCAAAGACAAGGAATCTAAGACATACATGCCCCTCTCTATCCTATAAAAATGACTCTTGTCCCAAGAATATGAATAAACCTCCATCTGCCAAACTGCATACAGCTTTTAGATGCATTATAAATACACCTGTAGAACAAAGCTGCTACAAACACAGTCTCTGCAGTCCTAAAATATAAAACTAGCAGAATCAAAACCAAACAAGAAAAGCATTCAAACCTTTATAAAAAGACACAACTGAAAATATTTGCAAAATGTAAAAACTCAACAGGTCTATCTATGATCAGCAGGTTATGCAGCTAAACTGAGTGTTTTTCATCCCCAATGTAAAGTAATGAGATTATAGCAACATAATTCTAATATTTACAAAATGAAAAGGGGATCTTTTGCCATCTTGCAGTAGAAAAACCTTTGTTTCTATTAAAAAGATTTCTGCTGAAATATAAAAAGCCATCCCCAAATTCCTAGTTGAGTGTTAAAACACAAACCAAGCCTGACAAGCCACGAACAGCAGGAAATTACCCTGCACAGTTTCTTACAAGACTATTATTTTATGAATTTACAGACTGTGTAAAGATCGACCACTTATGAATAGGTACAGGTAAGTTACAAGCTTGAAAAAGCAAACTTTTTTGAACATCTACAATGTTAACTCACTTTAGAAGGTATAGGTATAAAGTAAAAAAACAGGGCTCTATGCAATTTCTTACTAAAACAAGCTCGGAAATTGATGTTTCCAATCACATTACATTAATTAAAACTGGCCAATGAACTACTTTACAATCAATTAATTGTAATATTAAGGGTGTAAGTGGGTACTCACCTTAAAAATGTCCACAAGACTCTATTCTTATTTGCTAACAATAACTAATTTTACGGCAAAAACCAAGGAACTTTCTGAATTGAATAAAAATGTTTGCTAAATGATCTTTTGGTGGAGAAAAGTCTACAGATATCCTGGATGGTTTTCTTAAGGCAAATAAGAAAATCCTCACACTGTGGTACACTTATGAAATCCATTTTATATTATTTCTCCCATTTCTGTGTTACATTTGCTTATTTATTTATTCACATTAAAACTCCTCAAACTCCATTTAACTAATCGATTTACTCTTCTATGTCAAAGAAACACTTTTCAAGGCGAGTCAAAACTAGAATAACACATGTATTTGCAGTGTAATAGCCAATTTATTATCTCATTAGGCTCCAACAAAACATCCTTGCAGCCAGTGGTACACGTTCAATCCATATGAAAATCAGAAGAGAGGAAATGAAAAGGAGCTAGGAATACAGAACCATTCGGAATTCTGAAAATAATTCAAATTTCAGGGGCCATTTTTGAAAAAGATGGAATTGGAAGTTTGCGTGACCATTTGCTTATTAACCATTACCTTCCATGTGTCACTTAAAACACCAGAATGTAAACTATTCCACACTGTAACAGGCCCGGCGCGGCAGAGGGGAAATGCTGCTTCCAATCGCGTTTACCTGGGATGGCCCTTTCAAAGGCGGAGATGACAACAAACCCGTAGCATTTAGCCAAAGGGTCGAGAGGAAGGAATGACAAAAACCAACCCAGGAGCTGTTTTTCCTTTGTTTAGGATCAAAAGGAAACCATTAACCACATAAGGATTAAGTAAGCAGAAGACACAAGTACCCAACCCAGGGACAGTATCTCCCCGCCGCCCCCAGGAGAGAACAAAACAACTCAAGTTGCACATTTGAGGACCAAGTTTGAAATACGCGAAATCCCTTCGCTCGCTCTCCAAAGGCGGGTGGGAAAACCTGCCAGGCTCCGCTCCGAGGAACTTTCCCAAGTGAGGGAGAAGGGCCGCCGGCTCGTCGGGGCGAGCGCACCCCGGCACCCCCAGACCAGAATGGCCAACAAAGGTTACGGGGCCAGAAAGCAAGTGGACGCCACGGATCGCCCGCTCCCAACACGGCTTCCCGGCGACTCCTCACCCAGAGCCGTCTCTCCGGCTCTGGAAACCCGCACCGCAAACTACCAACTGCTGCTCGCGACCGAGGGGAAGGGCCCCCGCGGGCCCCGGGCCGGCCGGCGGGCAGCTCCGGGCGCCGACCCCTTCCCGGTGGCCTGCCCGGCCCCGCGTTCCCGCACCCCGAGCGCCGGGCGCCCCGCCGCCCGGACCTGGCCGCACCTCGGCACCAGCCCCCGTGGCGAGGCGAGGCGAGGCGAGGCGACGCGGAGCCTCCAGGACCCGAGCTCCGCACGAACACACCCCTGGCCCCAGGGGCCCGCCGGCCGCGCGGCTTTACCTGGACCGAGGCTCCGGGTCCCGCCCCGTCGGAGCCGGGGGTCCGGGACCTTTTGTTCCTTCCTCTTCCGAACGGGATGAGGGGCTGAGAGGGGAGAGGGGAATGGGAGGTTGGAGGCGGAACTGAAAACACTCTGGCGGCCGCCCGGCCTCCCGCCCCGCCTCCCCAGCGAGTGCCCGGCCCGCGGCCCCGGCGCGCGGGGAGGGGACGCGGGCCCGGACGCCGCCCGCGAGAAGGAGGGGGTGGGGACGCGCGTCCCGCCGCCGCCGCCCCTCCTCCCCTCAGGCGCGCGCCCGCATCCCTCCCACCCCGGGCCGCCCGGACGACCGAGCCCTCCCCGCCGCGCCCGCCGGCCCACCTCCGCTTCCGCCCCGCGCCCTCCGCCGCCGGCCGCAGCGGCGCGGCGCACCCACCTCCGGGAGGCTCGCTCGGAGCTCGCGGGCTGCTGGCTGGGAGCTGTTCCTCCGCCGCCGCGGCCGCGCGGTAGACCCGCCTCCCACCCCAGGCCGCGAGCCCCGCCGATTCGCCGGCGCAGCCCCGGGGCTGGCACCCTGCCGCCCGCTGATTGGCGCCCCCGGCCGCCCGTTAGGGCGCGAGGCACGCCGGCCGATCGCAGCCCTCGGCACGCACGGAAGGCAGGACAAGCGGAGGAGGGAAGGAAGGAGGCCGAGCTCCCGAGCAGGGCCGGGGCGCGAGCGGGGCTTCGAGAGTCCCGGCCACTACCTCCCCGCCTCCTTCCCCCCCCAACTCCCGGCCCGCCCTGCCCTCTCGGCCCGACCGGCGGCGCGCGCAGCCAATCAGCGCGCGAGGTGCTCGGGGTGTGAGCCGCGCGTCGGGAGCCTCGAATCGGAAGGGAGACGTCGCTCCCTGATTGGTCCCGCCTCCCCCGTAGAGCGTGAGGCGAGGCGAGGCGCGGCCGGGCCCGCGGCGGTGGGCGAGGTGGGGTGGGACGCCCCCGGTTTCGGTTGACTTCGTCTTTGGGGAGCTCCCAGGAGAGACTGTGGGAGGGGATGGCGGGGAAGCACGTGTCCTGCCGCAGCGGGGAGACAGCCCCGGGGTGACCTGTCCCCCTGCCTCGGCCCTGGGTCCCCTGCTCGGTCTCTCCAGCGCCATTGGGTGGGGCCTGTGAGGGCCGCCGCTGGGCCCACCTTCCCTCAGCAAGCCGCGGAGGGGCAAGTGCTCATCCCCTCGGAGGACCCGAGCCCGCCTGGAGGACAGGACGAGCCAGGGGCCGGAGGACGGTTCCGCCGAAGCCGCGGTACTGAAGCCACTCCGGGCGCGCCCCTAGGCGAATGAGCGGGCGGGTGGGCGGGGCCCCCGGGCTGCGAGATGGGGGCGGGGTCCGGGATGTAAATACGCCCCTGGGGCGGGGACCTGTGGGCTTTAGGGCCAGGGTGAAGGGTGCCAGGTTTAACCTGAAGCTTGGCTCTCTCTTCGGTAACAAATGCAGCTGATGATGCGTGCTGTGAACGACCCTTGTGAAGTCCGAGAAATAAGCCCGATGCCCCTTCGTTGCCGGATTCTCTTTCCCTTCATTTCTCCGCTGTTCGGTGATGGTAGGCCCCCAGCATCTGCGCTGCAAGGCCCTTAACTGCCAGTAAGCTGCTCGCTGCCCAAAGCTGGTGGGGGCGTAACTGCACTCGGGTCACTTCGCTTTCACCCCAGGGACACCCAGATCTCTGCTGAACTATGGAACCCAACTAATCAATCACATCCGGTATTTATTGAACACTTAGTACGTCGGGCAGGGAGCACCACAGAACTAAAGTTAAAGAGAAAGTTAGGTCTCACACAGGTTGGTGGTTGGTGGCAGAGACAAGGCAGTTTTCGGGGCTCCCTGTGCAGCGCTCGATTTCATGGGCTCCTGCGTGAATTTCATGTGGCGGCTTAAGCAGGAAAGGGGCACTGACAATATAAACGAGTCAACAAGAAGCACCAGCAGTCAGAGTTCTTGAAGTGTTTGCTTTCCTTTCGGATATGAAGGCTCCTCCGAGCAAGGTGTCTTGTGGAGAGGTACCTGGCCATGCCCTGAGTCTTACAGTTTTTCCAGAAGTCCTTTCAGAATCTTCATGCCCACCATCTCCCTCCTCGAACACAGAAGTACTCTTCCCACCGAAAAGTTGTGTTGAAGGACACGAACCCCGGAGATGGGCAAATTGTGGTTTTTAGTTCTACTGTGTGTTCCGAATCTGTGGCCTTCGGCAAGTGGAACTCACCTGCAATGATAGCTATTCAAATGTAGTTGTGTGGTGATTAAATAAAACAATACCTATCACAGGGCTTTGACGTTCAAAGGAAATCAGTAATTGATAACATTTCTTCCCTCCCGTCGCCTTCATGTATTTATGCTAAGGTAAACTTAGCAGAAATTCTTCAGAACTTGACCCCCAGGGCGTTTTCTTCCATTGCCAGCTTAGAGGCAGCTCTACTCACCCACCTTGTAAAATAGCTTGTGAAAGCGGCCCAGGAAGCCAACTGATGGAACTGATCCATCTCCTAAGCCTCTGCTTCCATATCCCGGAGCCACCAGGGAGGATGGTCTAGGCCAGGGCAAAGGCTCTTCAATTTACAAGTAGGAAGGCTGTTTCTGGTTTTTGGTCCTTCCTGCTGACCCACGCCAACCATTTTAATATGAAATGGCCTATTAAAAGCTACCCTGGGCCTGGCATGCATGGCTCAGTGGTTGAGTGTTGACCTAGGAGGTCACATTTCAATTCCCAGACAAGGCACATGCCAGGTTGCAGGCTCGATCCCCAGTAGGGGGCGTGCAGGAGGCAGCTGATCAATGATTCTCATCATTGATGTTTCTCTCTCCCTCTCCCTTCCTCTGAAATCAATAAAAATTTATTTTTTTAAAAAAAAATAAAGCTACCCTGGGTCACACAAATATTTTTTCCTATGTGACCAGGATGTACATTTGGTATCCATCTGGGTGATGGGGGATTCCTGAGCTGGCGGGATTCCAGAAGAATCTGCTATGGGAGTTAGGGTACAATTAAAGGGTACAGTAATTCAGTAGATGATATGCTTGAAGTTTAAGACCATCTTCCCGAAGCGTCAGACTTTTGAGTCCCTAACTTCCATTCTGGAATCCTTTTAGGATCTGTGAGATTGAATAAATGGGAGGAGGGGCAATCTGGCTACCAATGCAGTTCCCATAGGGTTTTGAAATGGGAACATGCCTACTGTCCCCTCTGCTAGAAATGTGTCTAAACCAAAGTGGGTCAAGACAGAAACTGAAGGCAGATGGAGAAGGATTGCCGTGGCAACAATCAACTGGGAAATCCACTAGGGTACTTCAAGACCTATCATCAGTAGATTCCTATTGCATAAATTATATTGAGTGAATCTTATTTTTATGTGAATAGACACTAAGTTTAACCCTTCATCACTCATGACACTGCAAAGTCAATGAAATTAAAATCAATTCAGAATCAACTTAAAAGTAGTTAAGTGTACTAGAAAGACATACATTGGGGCCTTGACTTACGAGTGTCCCGACTAACGAGTTTTTTGAGATACCAACTCCGCGGATTTTTTGCATTGAGTTGATAGAGTAATTTGAGTTAACGAGCTCCTGAATGAGCTCGGTCTCGGAATGAATTAAACTCATAAGTCAAGGCCCCACTGTATAAGAAAAATGGTAATGGTTGCTTCTGGAATGAGAACTTGGAAGTCATGAGTGGAAAACTTAAAGTTCATCATTATTTCTTCTGTAGTTTGAATTTTTAAAAATATTTATCCACGTGTTGATTTTCCAAAAGATACAACTCGTAGTCCATCTCTCTTATGAAATCTGGAAAGCCTTTCCTGGATGATATTAATCTCTGATTAATCTTGGCCTGTTACTTTAGTCTTGAGAAGGTTTTTAGCTTTCTCATGTATGTATGTTTTGTCTCCCCATTTAGATTGTACATTCCTGAAGGATAAGGAAAGCATCTCATTCTCAGTTGTCTTCCCACACCCTTACCAAAAGACTAAGTAACTGAAGTGGAATACAGCATTTGTATAGCATTCTGTGTGTGCTATAGGTCCACAAGCATTCTACACAGCTTTGCCCCATCGTTCTCAATACAGCCATTGAGCATCTCTTCAACATCTGATCTCTGTATTTACTCATCCTGGTGGGGCTAAGTTGAAGTGAGCATTGCTACTTCTTAAGGAAACATCCAGTTATTTGCAACTGAAAGGACACTGATTTCATGAAATAACCTAAGTAAAAATTGTAAACAACAAATGTTGTGGGGTTACTTTTGTTGTAAGTAATGATAGAAAAAATTCAATATCAGCTGGATTTTTATCTCAATACAATGAAATTTTATGTTTTAAAAGAATTTGTATTGAAGATGTGTACACCTGCCTACACACACACACACACACACACACATTCCTTATTCACATGCTAGCTTTTGTTAAAAATGAAAACTAACATCTGATGGAGACAAGAATAAAGCATATACAAAAAAAAAAAAAGGATCCAGCAAGTATTTATCTGTATCTGTTATGTGCCAATCATAAAAGCAATGGTTGATTATGGTGGAAAATTATTATTCTGTGGCCAAAATCACTCAAGAAAACAAACCATTGAGGTAGGGTTTTTGTTTGTTTTTCTTTAAATATATATTTTTATTGATTCAGAGAGGTAGGGAAAGGGAGAGAGAAATAGAAATCTCAATGATAAGAGAATCATTGATTGGCTGCCTCCTGCACACCCCCCCACTGGGGATTAATCGAGCCACAACCTGGGCATATGCCTCAACAGAGAATCAAAGGTGACCTCTGGTTCATAGGTCAATGCTCAACCACTGAGCCATACCAGCTGGGTGAGTTAGGGATTTTTTTTTTTAAAGAGGTAAAGAGACTGAGAGAAAAGTTGCCTCTTGTTGAGAGAAAAATATTTGGGGAAAACAAGTTATATTTCTTATTCTCCAGACAGCTGACAATATAATATTTCTTACTTATACATTTAAAAACAAATGATCATTGGCTTTATTGATCATTAGATAGCTAATTCAGTGACTGTTCAAATATTACTTGTAGTGTTATAATACAATGCCAATGCAATGAATACTCCCATAAAGGCATTTAAATATTATCTAAAATCTACATATTTTGGGGGTGGGGAAAACAGGCCAATATCTAAACCCTAAAAGAACAAATGTACAAAATATTTACAATTCTATTATGAGGGGGCATAATTTGGTAGTCATATGTTAACACTAGGGCCTTATGCCTTATTTATAACTAGAGGCCTGGTGCACAAATTCGTGCACGGGAGGGGTCTGGCCAGCTCTCTCCGATAGGGGGGCCAATCGGGGCCTGGCCTGCCGGAGGGAGGGGCCACGGAGGTTGGCTGGCCCTCCAGTCCCTGATTGGGCCAGTTGGCTGGCTGCAGTGCGCATCATAGTGACCGATCATTCCAGTCGCATGGCTTTTATGTATATACTAGGGGCACAGTGCATGAATTCATGCACCTTGGAAGGAACTGTGGGCTGCGAGGCTGCATTGGGCACAGGGGTGGGTCTCGGCCCATCCTCTGTGTCCCCGCCTGGCCTCTCCTGCTGCGGGCCCCGCTCCTGCTGCCACTGCTCCCATGTGCTGGTGGCACCAACCCCCCTCGCATCCACTGATGGCGCAGAGCAATTGGGACCAGCACCAGCAGTGGGTGTGACCGGGACCGGCGCCATCAGTGGTTGCGAGCAGCAGCTGCTTCCCCAATCGCCCCTCAGGAGCAGGGGGAGGTGGAGAAGCTGTGAGGGGCAATCGGGACTGGCACCTGCTGACAGCACCAAATGATCGGGACCAGTGCCAGGCGCTGGCAGCAGGTGCGAGCAGAGGCTCCAGCACTGGCTGCAGGTGTGAGTGGGGCTGGCGCTGGCAGTGAGTGGGAGCAGGGCCAGCACTGGCAGCAGGTGCAAGCGCCAGGTGGGACCATGGCGCAGTAGCAAAGAATTTTTAGTAACCACCAGAGGCTCACCCTGATGACAGCGACCAGTGCCCTGTCTTGGTCTGGTGCCCCCACTCACCTCTTCCACTATCTCACTGCAACCATCGCCTGCCATGTTCCATGCACACCCCTGCTGGTCAGCGCACATCATAGCGACCAGTTGTTCAGTTGTTCGGTGGTTCCGCCATTCCGTCTATTTGCGTATTAGCCTTTATTATATAGGATAGATTGTCTGTGTGTGACAATATTGACTGAGCCAGACTGCTGGTAGGCAGGATAAGTGTGTGAAAGTATAATACTCTTGGGAAATTTCAAGCTTATTAGCATAATTGTTCTGATGAATACTGAAGAGCTTATTGAACTTAACTGACTAGAGTAGACAATAGATGCATAATCAGTGTCCTAATAATTGATTTAATGAGCCCCAATTGTTTGTCTTTACTGTAAACAGTTCTCAGTTATGAAAAAGACATTTTGGTGAGGGAGTCTGACAATTGTGTTACCTGATAAATGGCCAGAATATAATTAATGGTGAGAGAAAGCCAATTATTACTGGGTCCTAAAGACTTCAGTGCTGTATTTCAAGGGGTAAATTACATAGCTACATAGAGTTTTCATTTCAGCTCTTTCTTGCCTTCATACAATCATGGAGCTTGATCAATACCCTTATTTTGGAGCTAAGAAAACCAAGAACTAGGCTTCTCCAAAGTTCTATGGCCACTTAGTGTCAGGGATTATACACATAGTGGCTACCTTTTCTGCTCTGGCACTGCTCACTAACTCTTCTCCCTGTCCCTGGTCTGCACACTCATCCCTTCTCTACTCTCTTCAATCTCCCTGTTCCCATTATTTTGTACGCATATGTCATGACCAACTTTTTTATAGTCAAATTAGGGGTACATTTCCTATCTGCATCTAAACCCCAATGCTATACAACATGTCTGTTTCCAGGTTCATTCTCCCAGTGACATTTTGTGAAAGACCTGATCCTCCTTCTAGAGAAGGCTTTTCCTTCTACCTATTCTTTGTCCCCTTGACCACCCAGTCTAGATCAGCATCCCCACACATATACCAGTCCCACTATCATATCATAAATTGTTCTTTAAAATTGTTGTCACTATCTGTAACTATGATCATTTATTTCTGTGCTGACTTATTATTTGTTACCATTCCCATTGAAGGTAGGCTCAACAAGAGCAGGAAACATGTCTGTATTCTTCACCATAGCATCCCTAATTCAAATATATATGGAGGTGCTCAATAAATATTTTTGAATGGATGGGTAATTTTTACTTAAGTTCACTCAAACTCATCTTCTATTTGTCTGTGCGGGTGTGTCTCAGCCCAGCTCCCTAGAAAACAGCCTAGTTCAAGGATTAAGGGCTGAGGCTTTACTTAGGAGGTATTATCCCAAAGCAGCAACAGTGAGGAAAAGGGTAAGGAAAAATGGGGAGCAATGCATGGTGATGCATCACTGTGATAACCACCGCTAATGACAAGCCTTGTAGAGTAACAGCCAGTCTCTTAACAGGTGCAACCACTTGGCCATACAGAACATCTTCATATAGACAATATGGAGTAATCACGTTTTGGAGCAATCCCAGGAAGGGAGGCACTTTATGTCCCTTTTTCCTGTTAGTCAAAGATTGTCCCACAGGAAGCTAACTTCCCACACTGCCCAGTTGTGTTATCCATATTCTTTGATAGCCACTCAGAAAGCCAAGTGCCCTGCCCTAGAGTCCAGAAGTGATGGGAGGAGTCCGTGGGTATGTGGCTGGTCGGCCTTGGACAATCAAACCACAAGGGACTTAACTAAGCCACTCATGGTGGCAGCTGAAACAGAGCAAAATGCCAAGAGTCCCAGAGAAGCTAACGCCCAGAAAATCTGAGAAGACTCATAAACTGAGCCTAATATAGAGTAACTATTACCACAGCAAAGGTAGGACCAGGTCTGTATCCAGTACCTCCTACAATAATTGTTAATTAAATTTTTGTTGAATGAATGATTGCACGCATAAGTGTCATTATCATCTACTGACTTAAGCTGAAAATTTGGAGTCATCCATGATCTTTCTTTCTTAATTTCTGTATATTGAAATGAGGACAAAATGCTTTTTGTCTCTAACTTCATAATATACTAGAGCAGTGGTTGGCAAACTCATTAGTCAAAAGAGCCAAATATCAACAGTACAATGATTGAAATTTCTTTTGAGAGCCAAATTTTTTAAACTTAAACTATTTAGGTAGGTATTAACTTAATAATTTTGGATTGAGTACTTAGTATTAACAACATGAGTTCAATATACTAATATATTTATGGAATGCCTATTATGTGTCAAAGGCTGGAGATAATATGACATCCTTCTGGAACTTACATTTTAGTGAGGAAGATCAACTTTAAATAAATAAATAGTCACATCAAATAATTGCAGTTGTCATGAGTGCTAAGGAAGGAAATAAACAGTAAGCGAGAGAAGTTATTTAGCAAGGTTAGGCATTAAGTTTCATTTTATAATAATAAAGCCACCAACACAAAATAATGACAATTCTTAAATTGATGACAAAATCCCTGTAGGATTTGCAGCTGGTTGGAAAAATACAGGTAACTTTATGCTTTGAGTAGGTACTTTTGTCACCCCCACACGATTTGCGGACACGACTGGCACTAACCACTGCACAATGAGACTGCTGACTGACTGGCTCACTCAACTTGTGCATGAATTGCGCACGCCTCCCCCTCGGTGTATCCTGTGGCCCACCTGCTCCGCGTCTCCCGTCACCCAACTGACCAACACCCCCCACTTCCGAACCACTTCTTTAAAATAGACTCGTCCAGGCCGAAAACCGACTTCTGTGCATGGGCCACGAAGTTTCAATCGCACTGTATGTGCACGCCCACACGTGGTATTTTGTGGAAAAGCCACACTCAAGGGGCCAAAGAGCCGCATGTGGCTTGCGAGCCGCGGTTTGCCAACCACTGTACTAGAGGCCCAGTGCACGAAATTTGTGCACAGGTAGGATCCCCCACTAGCACCCACTTTGGTTGGCCTGTTCCATAGGACTGGGGGCAGCTCCTGCATTGAGCATCTGCCCCCTGGTGGTCAGTGAACGTCATAGAGACTAGTTGTTCCACCAGTCATTCTGTGGTTCAGTCAATTTGCATATTAGGCTTTTATTATATGGGATAATACATCTCAGATCCAGTGTTTCCTCTCCAAGCTCACTGCCTTGATTCAGACCTTTGTCATCTTTCATTGGAATTATTGCCATAGCTACTTAACTGGTCTTCATGTATCCAGCCTTGCTCCCCTCCTATCCATTCTCCCTGTTGCCAGGATTTCTTTTGATGCCATATTTTATAATTGCAAATCTGATGTCACTATCTTGATTAAATTTTTTTTCCAGATAGAATCAAGACTCTTTAGCATGCCTAAAAGATCCTTCATGAGCTGTCCTAGTTAGTCTCTTTAGCTTTACACCTCACCACTCCCTACCTTACTCCTTGGCCCC